GGACAGGGTATTCTCTTACGTAGTGACAGCTCACTACAACTATCTGCTTATAGTGACTCCGACTGGGCATCTTGTCCTCTTACTCGTCGCTCTGTGAGCGGCTACTTTATCCTTCTAGGTGGCTCACCAGTTTCTTGGAAAACAAAGAAACAAACCACCGTGTCCCGTTCATCAGCAGAAGCTGAATATCGTGCCATGGCTAACGCATGTGCAGAGGTACGATGGATCCGCGGTCTTCTTGGGGCACTCGGCATTACTCCACCGACAACGTCACGTTTGTTTTGTGATAACAAGTCCGCTTTGTTTATTGCTGCCAATCCTGTTTTTCATGAACGCATGAAATATATTGATATTGATTGCCACATTGTCCGTGAATGCGTTCAGCGCGATGAGATCGCCACCGCATATGTTCCTACTCGTCTACAAATTGCTGATTTGTTCACTAAGGCTTTGAACAGGCCTCTCTTCGAGTTCTTATTGTCCAAGTTGGGCATTCGTGATCTCCATGCTCCAACTTGAGGGGGAGTGTTAGCATATATATTTATTTACTACCATATATGTAATTAGTTTCCTTTGTAATTAGTTTCCTTGTTAGTAGTGTAATTAGTTTCCTTGTTAGTAGTCCTTTCCATTCTTGGAGTAGGACTTGGCACATGTATATATACGTTGTGAATATTGAATGAAAGGCAGATCAGTTTTTCCAAAATTCTACAACTTCCCTCATTAAATTAAAACTTGTTAAAAGAGATAGAGGCTTCACCTCAAGGTCATCTGGAACCATGAACACAGACGGTTGCAAGGCAAAATTATTGATTCCCCTCGGTTTCAGCAAATAAGCGTTAGCAACGCGTTCTTCCAATTTCAGAGGCTGCTTCTTGCAGTTATGATACGGGGCAATCTTGGGGTTTTGTAAGGTGGATTTCAAGCCTGAAAGAAACCATTTATCCTCCAACTCCAGCACACTCAGGTATAAGTTATCAATGCATATGAACCCCGAATGGCCATCCAACACGTGTGCCATCGATCCAAGAGGAGTTGTTAGAAAGCTACAAAGGAAATCAAAGAACTCGTCTGTGGCTTCGGCAAATAGAATCTTGTTTGTTGACTTCTTGGTTGTTACTTTAAGATTCAATGTAGTAGTACTGGGAGGATTTTGTTCTGGAGTTGTCTGAACTGCTGTAGCTATTGAGGGTGACAATTTGGAACCAACTTTCTTTTGGTGACTCAAAGCTCCTCCTTTATTACCCAAAAAGAAGTCGCTTAAAGAAGACTCTGAAAACATTGAGTGTGCGAGCAGGCCTAATACCTGCAAAATTGCAAAAGTTGTACGTAGACTGTAAAACTTTAATTTCAATTTTGTCTCATAAAACATTCGAATTTTGCCTAAATGAACACAATTGTATGCCATTTTGTTAAATGTAACCGAACCTATCTCAACTACATATTATACATTCCACGCCCTAATCGTTTTGACATCTCTTTGTTTTACTCGTTTCAATTATCGTTGTCACACCTTAGTTAAATTTCTACAATTTTCTCCCAAAAATTAATACAGGAAATATATTGCAAGGTGGAAGAAGTATATTTATAAATGATGAAAGTAGTGAAATTTGAAAGGAGTACGAGGTACTCCGTATTATTTATTCCATATAAGCGAACTCATGGAGTAAGTCATAAGCCTACATGATTTGAATAGATTAATGTATGCACAGGATCCTGTATAATAATGATGATGACAACAACAACAACGACAACGACAACGACAACAACAATAATAATAATAATAGTGTCAGAGACTTTGTGATCCAGCAACATTTACGTGACTCTTCCAAATAAGAGATCGCATGTTCGAAACTCAGTAATACGTGTCATCAAAACAACAAATAATAATAATAATAATAATAATATTTTATTATTATTATTTATCACTTTTACTCATACTAATTCTTGACATACCTATCACATTAAATTTTATTTCACGATTAATAAACCAACTACATCTTACTTTTAGTCATGACATCTAAAAATATTTTTGGAAAGTCAACACAAAAATATAATTTGTTACTCCGTAGATCTTTAAAAATGACAAAGAGAGTATATCACATTCTATTCTGGAAAAAAATACTGGCAGTACTTTTTGCAAATAGTATACACCCCGGTTTGAGTGACATTGAATTTCAAACACCCCCGGTAAATCTCCCAACCCCGGCCCGACCCAAACCGACCACCCCACCCCCTCCTATTGTACCTCACAAAATGTAGTTGACTTTGGAGTCAAAAATTGACTCCAAAGTCAACTACATTCAACTACATTTTGTGGGGTACAATTGGAGGGGGTGGGGTGGTCGGTTTGGGTCGGGCCGGGGTTGGGAGATTTACCGGGGACGTTTCCATCAATTTTTCAAACGGGTCAACCGAACCTTCCCATCACAAATTCTATTCTCAAAAAACCTATGGTAGTACTTGTTGCAAATTTCAAGACGGCAATATATAGGAGGAGTGGTAGTAGTAGAAGGGTACCTCATCCTTGGAAACGTCTACACTCATCTCCCGGAATTGCTTGGCTTCACTTAAAGTGATGAGGTCGGCGGGCAAAAGTTGAGAAAGAACGGCTGGAGAAGCAGGTCTTATTCTTAAATCGTCGCTGATTATGAACACTACTCCCCCTTGCAGAAAGCCACCCTCATAATAACCACCAGACCGCCGTTCTATTGTGGTCGTCCCCTGCCTACACAGGACGCAGCTCAAGTTTGGGTACTGGCTATAATAGCTGGAGCAGTATCTGCCGGCGGAACACGCGTAAGTGATCTCCGACCCAGAATCATCAATGTTAATCCCCAAATTCTTACAGTTATCTGCAAGTGGGTTTCTGGGATTCAGAACCATGGTCTTGCAGATCTGTTCCTCCCAGTACTCGCTGCCAAGATTTTGAACGCCGCTTGTTCATACACCCTATGGTTGCGCCGGAGGTGGCAGTGAGCCTGATTACGGTGGCCATTGGGAGGGCGAGGAAGCCGAAAAGAATGTCGACCAAGTCCTTTTTGGCTTCCGCCGCCACTACTCGGTTCTTGCTGTCGTCGATCAGCAGCTTCAGGGAAACGACGGCAGCCTCTTTCTTCACCTCCGCCATGTTTGTATGCGCTGTTTCCGATCGAGTAAAGAGAGGACGATTCAATTCCTACCTATAGTATTAGAAGCAAATATAAGAGTGGTTGGTTGGTTAATCCCGGGAGAATATGAAGGGTGTTTCGTTTTTACTAATTAGTAATTACCAGTATTTATTACGGATCATTAAATCTAAGGATTAACCTATGTTTACCCCACCCCACACGTTTGCACTAACATTTTGTGTTGGTGTAAAACTAATTTTTATCAACGCACCACCATTTGTGTTCATGTAAATTTTTGTTAACACACCAACACTTGTGTCGGTGTAAACCATCAAAATGTTTGTGCAAACTGTGCTGTAGAAATGGGGTACATTTTTTGGTGTAAGTGTAGCATGGTCCTAAATCTAATTTTGAACCGAGTAGCTTACCATTGTGTTTTGTGCAAAATGTGTGGATATTATTGGAAAAAGAAATCCGCCACTATAAGAGTAAAAAAAATATGAAAAGATCAAAATAAGAATCATATTTTTTTAAAACCAAAATATGAGTAATTGACAATATGATGTTAGTGTACACGTTGATAATGTGATTTAAAATCAAAATATGAGTAATTCAAAAGAACTAGTAAAATTCCTTATTACTCTATGAAGTGTGAACCGGAGCACGTACTGAAGATATACTCTTCCTTCCCTCGAAGACAAAATCAACCATATTGTTACAATCAGACCTGTCACTATCATAAACATATCTTGATATACTTCTAAAATCTAAGAAAAAAAGTTGAAAACGACGAGACGTATATGAGACGTCATTCGAACGTCAACACCTATGCAGACAAAAACTCATTAATGATAATGAGAGCTACCATGAAGTGAACGAAGTGATGGGAAAATATGTCAAATATGTTCCAAAATACGAGGTTATACCCTACAAAGGAACCTTAATTGTGGATGTTGAATTTAAAAGGGAAACCGCAAAGAGGATAGTTCGGTACCTTACTTCTAAAGATTGTTAACCTCTTGAAGAAGGAACGAGTTTGATGATATTGACAATTTGAGAATATGTATCCGTGTGGATAATGACGCAATCATGACTTAATTGAATAGACATGACGCGGTCATGATGAACGTGAATACAACAAGATGTTGATTATAGACCTTATAAGAATTTCGGCATACAATTAATTAAGTACTTTCATTCGGAAATAATAATATGACGTTGTTTTTTAGTCTTCAATTTTAATGGGATATGAGAAATGTACTCAAGCCAACTTTACCTCCGCAGTTCCGCCTATGAATCAACTAGTAATTTAACCCGTGCCACACACGGGGTCGAACAAAATTTTTATTGATTTTTTGAATTATCTTCAATGTAATATTTTTTAAATGAGTATGGAAATATATGTAATGTGTTCTTTAACTCTATAGGCATTAAAATCAAAGTAAAATAAATAATTTGGAATTTAATAAATGGTTATAAAAATTATTATATATAAATTCAAAAGTAAACACTTCAAAGTCTTTTTAAAATTCATATTTTGTTTGAAAGCCTTTGGGGAATATAACATTTTGGTGTGGTTGCAAGGATTTTCATTATTATTTAGAACTAATATTTTTAACTATATCTTAGTTTTCACTCGTGAAACAATGACATAAAATTAACTAAGAGTGAACTTCAACCCAATTAAAAATAATCCAACAAATGATTATATTAGACATTGACTTTTATCCATAGTCATAACAAAACGTAAAGCGTTCATCGTCATATATCTGGCTTTGGTTTTCATTCATTGTAGATATATATTACTCCATCCGTCCTAAAACTATCTTCCCACTTCTTCATTTTTAATGTCTTAAAACTACTTTCCCACATCCCAAAAAAGGGTGTAAAATGACAATCCTAACCTTACAACATCTACTCCCCAAAATTCCCACTCTATCGACATTCTTTCTCCCTCTTATCTTCGTCTCTCTTTCAATTCTTCTCCTCAAAACCTAAATCTAATCTAGGGATCAAAGTTGCAACCATCGCCGTTCTTGAGATCGTCTCATCATCATCAGCTCCCCCTCCACACTCAGAATCTCGGTATCTCAACACCTCCACTCGGCATCTAGGGATTGGCATTGTAGGAAGGACACTGGTAGGTGTAGTAAGGTCACTGGTATGTGATTCGAAGTCTAAATAGCTTCACAGAATCGGAGATGATGATGAGCTTCATTAGCCGCTACCTTCAATCGGAAATTGGCCTAAGTATGTTTTTTCTATAGCCGTCCAGAGTTTTTTTTAATTATTTTTTAAATCAGAATTCTGTCCTTTTTTGATTGGTTATTCAATCTCTTACTCATAGTTATTAAAGGCGCTCGCCTCTCTCGCCTATGGCGCCTCAGGCGACCAGGCGAGCTCTCAGCGCCTCAAGGAAGCCAGGCGAGGCAAGATCCCTAAGGCGCGCCTAAGGCGGTCGCCTTTCTCGCCTCAATCACTGCCTCAGGCGTTCGCCTAGCTCGCTTTTCTCGCCTCAATCACTGCCTTAAGGCTTTAGGGTATACAATGCATAATATTTATTGCTATATATTACTCCATAATATATATATACATATATATACACATATATACATATACATATACATATACATATACATATACATATACATACACATACATACATACATACATACATACATACATAGTATCAATATTATGTGTTTATACATACATATATGTGTGTGTGTGTGCGCGTGTGTATATGTATATGTATGTATGCATGCATGCATGTTCGCCATTTGACCGCCCGCCTCTCGCCACGCCTCTTGCCATAAAAAAGGTCCTCTCGCCCGCCCCTCGCCACTCGCCATTAATAACTATGCTCTTACTCATCAATTGTTTTCTTATTTGGCCACATTTACATGCCGCTTCATTAGTAGTTGTGCTTTTCGATCGGGCTAGACATGTTAATTGTAGGTATGTCAGTTATTTATCGCCGGTGAACAGGCCACCCGGCAACTGTTTACATTGCCCAATTACTGGAACAGACAGAAGACTATTATGTTTTCGGGTTTAGATGGAGGGGCGTTTTTGAAAATCAAAGCCATATTAATCAATTCCGTAAAAATGGGTTTTAGTCAATCTAGGAAGTTGGATTTAGGACGGAGAGAGTATTTAAGATCATGTGACAAGTTTTATTTGTCATAGTTAAACTCCTCTACCAAGATATTATTTTAAAATCTATTAAATGGATTTTTCATCTAGGAATGGCATATCACTAAACTTTTATAAGGATCATCTATTTAAATTAAGTAACTTTTCAATCTCAATCAAATATAAAGTTTTTAGATCTTCTTGAAAAATAATAAGTTCTATAAAAATGGTAAAAATGAGACTAAATCAGTAGATTTTAACCCATATCTCAATTCTAAAGTTTTGTATATATATCATACGGATTACATTTCATATTGATCTTTATATAAATAAAAAAATACCTCTTTATAGAAAGACCTTGTTTTTGCAATCTTACTGATCAAATAAAGTTGCATATCAACCAAGAGCTCCCATTATTTTTCCCAAAAAACTTAAGAACGACTCATGGTATTTGTCACTAATAATAATAATGTGACTAACAACTTTCTTAGCTGACTCTGAGATCCTAGCTCAGTAGTCTGTTTTATATCTTCAATAAATTCTTTACCATTGGTTAATAACTCTAATGTTTCACATGCATTGTCAAATGAGTTTTGTTCGTATAACATTATTGGTAACTGTCTTCACGCTCTGATAGCTTGTACATCCACGTTAGATCGCTAATATTATTTTCAAGTAGTACAACTTTTCTAATCCTATTGGCACACATTATAGACGACCTATCAATGGTGTTTGTTGCCTCAGAAACAATGAAGAAAATTATAGCCATCAATGTTTTGTTTAATTTAGTTATTTTCAAAATTTTCAAAAATGTGTGCATTAATTAGAATACTATATAAAACAGAAGCATGCGTAAAAAAATATAAAGCAACGATTTTAGAGTTTAATTACATATGATTCTTAGGAAACCTCCAAAATATATTTTTGATTGTGATAGATGTATGTTGAATTGCTAAAACAAAACAATAATCGTAAAAATATGCACCCTTTTTATGTGCTCTTTTGTTGAAGTATTTCATTTTTCCTTTCTCTTGCATTTCTAGTTCATCTCGTCTATCTCTCGTTAGGTTAATTTTCCATGTTTTCAATTGTTATAGAAAAATTGGATGCTCCTACCAACTATACTTAAAAAAAGGAAATCAAGTTTGAATACTTATTCTAATTTTTAATCAGAATATTAATTCTCTCCAAACACGTGTGTATTTAAACTTGAGTGATGATGATAGATGAAATGACACATTTCTTGAATTATATCTGAACATTTTGTAATTGAATTTTAAGGGTATAATTATTTTTCTTAATAATTTAATATAAAGGATTTATTGAAAAAATCACTTTTAATAATTTTATTTTTGATCAAAAATAAAAGTTTGATCACATGTCAAATAATATTTAATGGAGTCTGGCTCATAAATCAAATGCCACATAATATATCGCTTATTTTGCCACATGTATACCCCATATTGTGCCACATGTCAAGCTCTTATGCATCAAACTCTCAAATTTATAAACAAACAATCATGAAATGACAAATTTTTTGAATTATATTTGAACATTTTGTAATTGATTTTTAAGGGTATAATTATTTTTATTAATATGACTCAAAATTGAGTGATTTAAGTAACAAATCTAAAAAGAGAGCTAGTTAGATTATAAATTACTGTATTTAATGTTTTATTAAATTTATAAGATTTAGAATTGAAAAAAAGGCAAGTAATATTGCAAATTACTATAAAGTATCTAAAAGCCTATAAAGTAAAAATTTTCTTGTATTTAACTAAATTTATAAAATTAAAATTATTACTTACAAAATTATGTATAGTACAATAATCTTTTTTATACTTGAACATTATTCTAACACAACCATCTCTTTTTTTAAAAAAATGATTAATGTAATTTTTAAAATATGTTGTTTTTTATTTCATATCAATATTGAAAGAAATATATTCAAAACTAACTTCATTTTAACTTATCATAAACAAACAATAATGTGAAATTTATTTAAGTAATTGAAAACTTTATTAGAAATGAAGAAAAAATACTGAATCATGAAAAAGTATTATTATGAAAATGAATATAAATATTTCATAATTAAATTTATTCAAAGATTTCATACCAAAATAGTTTTTCATATTTTATGTCTCAAATAATGTGTCATATTAGGTGTAAAAAGCCACATAAGTAATGCATATGTGAACTTTCTAAACATAAAAGTTTAATCATCTTATATAAATGATTTATTGAATATTTTTATTCTTAATAATTTAATATAAAGGATTTAATGAAAAATCACTTTTAATAATTTTATTTTTGATCAAAAATAAAAGTTTAATCACATGTCAAATAATATTTAATGGAGACTGGCTCATAAATCAAATGCCACATAATATATCCCTTATTTTGCCACATGTATACCCCGTATTGTGCCACATGTCAAGCTCTTATGCATCAAACTCTCAAATTTATAAACAAACAATCATGAAATGAAAAATTTTTCGAATTATATCTGAACATTTTGTAATTGAATTTTAAGGGTATAATTATTTTTATTAATTTGACTCAAAATTGAGTGATTTAAGTAACAAATCAAAAAAGAGAGCTAGTTAGATTATAAATTACTGTATTTAATGTTTTATTAAATTTATAAGATTTAGAATTGAAAAAAGGGCAAGTAATATTGCAAATTACTATAAAGTATCTAAAAGCCTATAAAGTAAATTTTTTTTTTGTAATTAACTAAATTTATAAAATTAAAATTATTACTTACAAAATTATGTATAGTACAATAATCTTTTTTATACTTGAACATTATTCTAACACAACCATCTCTTTTTTTAAAAAAATGATTAATGTAATTTTTAAAATATGTTGTGTGTTTTTTATTTCATATCAATATTGAAAGTGTAACGCCCCAAAAATAGGCCTATCAGAGTTAATTAATTTATAATTAATTAATTACTGAGAAGGACCCAAAAATAAGTAAATTCTAAAGTTTGTCAATAAATAATGAAAATTATATCAATGTGTAGAGTTTGACTGTCTGATCCCAACGGTTCAATCGGATTTCAATTTGGAGAAAGTTGGACCAAAAAGTGTACCCCGATTGGGACCAAAATTAGTCCCAATCAGGGACTTACGTTTGCAGCCCGTAGAAATCGCCGCTCCCTCCACTGAGACGCCACAACAGTAGCAGAGGGAGTCATCAACCATGTCTTCATTCCATTACTCCCTCCTATTTAAACCCCTCCAAACTTCACCATTTCTTCACCATTTTCCTTCAACTAAACTCTGAGAGAAAGCTGTGAGTGTGGAGAACGAAGTTGTGCTGTCAATTTGGTGTGAAGTCGCCGGAGCAAGCTACAATCCTCGCCGGAAGTTTCACCGGAAAATTTCTAAAACCTTCAATAAGCTTCTAGGTAAGCCCGTAGATATATCTAATGACTAGAATGTTCATATAGGTCGTTTCTACGTTCATAAATGGTCATTTGGTTGAGTTTTGTGTTTGACATGTTTAAGAACCAAGA